CGCAGGTGGCAGCACTTTCGAGAGGCACGAGACCTACAACGGTTCCCTGCTGCAATTCCATCGTGTCGAGAGGCGACAAATGGGGGTGTATCTCTGCATCGCCAGCAACGACGTGCCGCCCGCCGTTAGCAAGCGAGTGACACTCGCCGTGAATTGTAAGCACGTTTCCCTCCTAATCCCTGATTGTATCCGGCAGAAAGGCTCCGACCGACGACAAAATGCGACGCGGTACCCCCGTCGCTGACGTAACGACACGCTCCGCAGTGACGAATCACTCCGGCCATTGGCGCAACCGCGCCAACTCGCTAGAGGGCTTTACGATCTCCGTCGTCTCTGGTAAACCGCTAAGGACCGTCTATTACGGTGAATTAAAGCGATCCTGCCGAAGGAAACGGCGCAGCGGGTCTGGGGCGGCCGGGGTAGATTCTTTCCGCAGTTGTTGCTCGATGTAAGCATCGATAATGGCCCCGTTATCAGATCCCGTGATTTCATTCGAGGAACAGCCCCGATTCGCTTCCACGGTTTACCGACAATGGAACGAAAGAGATTTCAGATTGCTTATCAACTGTAATCAAAGCGAATTAAACCGGGATATACAGAAAAGCGCGCAGGCTGTTCACGAATTTATTGCGCGACGCAATAACGTTTATATCCGGGATAGAAACGCTTTTGTTTCTCCGTAAACAAAGCGAGCAACCGCACCGCGTACCCGCTGTGAATTTTAATAATGCTACGGGAGATAATCCTGAACGGCAAATACGTGCCGCTAAAAATTACAGTTTTACAATCATTTATTCCTATGGTCGGAGTTCTTCTGTCGAGACATTAAACTTCAATAGTGTATACACAAAGTTTCTAGCAATTCGATGCAGTTCTTTTGCTCTGCGAACTTTGCGCGTACATAAACCTGCAAGGATTAATAAAACCCGCGCGAAACGGCATAAATCTTTTTAAAGCGCCTACATATTGCTTAGGAATATAACGGACTATTAACTTGGATTACTTTTCCAGGTATTCTGCAATTGAATGTTTTTAGTACGTTTAACACGAAAGCAGTGAATTAATTTTAAAAGTAGATGTAGGGTATTTAAAATTTATGGTACGTTTTTGAAAAGGTAAAAAAGTTAAACGAAAGTGTAAATGTTATATCAATGTAATATCGAAAATGTAGAAAATTGTTTTCTATATGCATAGTTTTGGTATACTAACATTTGCTATACAATATCTAATGTTTTATTAATCTGTTTATGTTATAAAGATTTTATCAGTTTTCAGAAATTTTAGTTATGTAGAAAAAACCATAGTCAGCTTATACAACACAATAACTACTTACAGTAATTTAAATTCGGAATATAGTCATTTACAAAAGAGCATCTTCGAAAACAATAGCATCGATTTTTATCAAACTGTAAGTATTGAGAGTAGGTGGAAATAATGAAAGCTCATTAAATTCAAATTCGATAATGGAAATTTAAAAATTAATGCTATCGCATTAAGTTTCACCCTTTCGTAGTTATTTTAAAAAGTGAAAAAGGTACAAAAGGAACATTTTACAAAAATACTTCGTGTGAATAATAGATTTCATAAGGAAAAATAACAAAATACAAATCAATACAAGAAATGTAATACTAATCGAAACATTTTTTATCAGAAAACAATTATGATGTCCAATATACATTTCTGGAATTGTTACTGTATACCTTTTATTGGTTTAAATATTCGTAGGTATATAAGTTCCATAAGTTATTTCCAAACAAAGTTATATTTATTCATTAAATGTAAACCTCACAAAAAAACATGACTCACCTGCACGGAAGTATGGCATTTATTTTGTTGAACTCATTGTCAAATGTGTTTATAGTAAAGGGGCCAGCGTTTTTTTCATAAAGGGTAAATGTTTGAAAAAAGTGATAAAGGAAAATGTTGTAATGTTTATTGTAAGCTATACGATAGCGTAAACCAATTGTTTATATTTTTATCTTCTTTTGACAAATGAAAGTGCTCTTGAATTTTTTTAATGGAATGCCTTTTTTATATCGTATGAAATTATACATTTCAAATGATTTGAATATTTATTAAAACAAATAAATCAGATAATTTTAATTAATCATAAGTATTATTCAAAGATAACATTTTTTAATTTTACAGTCTGTAGATTCAACGTATTTTCTTTGGGAAATACCATACAGTCAGTTTTAGTACTAAACAAAAGTACAAAAATATAAAGAAATTAGTAGTTTCCTTGTGCAATACTTATTTTCTTTGTATTTTCAATGATTTTCCAAAAAAGTACCTATTTAATGTTTTATTGTACTAATGTTAAGAGTAATCACTTCACAAATAAATTTTATTTAATTATAACATGGTGTTGTAGCATTTTGGTATATTATCGTGAAAATCTATATTTATTCAGATATAAAATAATTTGTGTTAGTACACAATTTGCATAAATGCCATCAATATTAATTATTCTGGCACAACAGGCACAGCAGAGAATTAATTACGTTCAGCCACGATAATGCGTTACACATATATTTCATAGTTTTATATGAGCAGTACCTAATAGAATAACCTGTGAACTGTACAACATTTTAATTTTGATGTTCTTTTAATGACGCTACTAGTTGTAACTAATGAATCAGAAACTATTGATTTTTGAGTAGAATAAGATGTTAAAATGAAAAAAAATGTTTAAGAATAAGATTAATAAGCGTGGCTTTACGATAATTTTACGGTGAAAATTGTACACTCTCTTGATCTACGAAGAAAGTACTTCATTAATTTTCTTCATGTCATTATAAGAAGAAGTCTGATAAAACAAATCACATTATTCCGTTTGGTATATTACAGTAAATAAATGACCTATTTATGCCGCCTTACTTGGCAACAATGGAATTGCGAAGTAGGAATATTTGAAGACAATAAGCGTAAGAAGCTTCATTAAAGTCTATTACGAAGTACTTTTCACATTTAGTTTGCGCGTAAATTTCCACTTCACTGTTTCATAGAAAAGGTAGCAAGATCAAAGCATTTACTGATTAAAATTCTCTGCTGATAAAATTCTTATGACGAAAGTGCATTATAACGAGAAGTAATAGGGGTTGAAATGTTCCAGAATATAACACCATCATAAAGGATACAACAAAATCTGAGATTAAGTTTACCGCTATTAATCTAAAGCCACAAACACATTTCTATAGGATAAATGTCTGTTTAATATTCAACAGATTTTTATAAATCGCAAAAATGATTAAAGCGAAAATATGATTTTATTTGATAATACCACCAACTTGAGTCTTTTGTTGAAGAATTTACATCCAGTTAAGCTTGGCCATGCTGGGCACTGATTTTTTAATTTTTGTAATTAACTAAATTTTACTAATCTTTTTTTGATGAATATCACTTTTTTCAATTTCAAAGAAAGATACAAAATTTTGAAATTCTATTAATAGGAATATTCTTAGACATCCGTGTTTCTATTTCAAAAGTTATTTTACCTACCCAACTAAAAATTTGTGTAATAACATGAAAAAATATGAAAGCAAGTATAAAAACAATTAATGTGAAATCATTAAATTAAAGTTATTAGTAATTTCTGGAAACAGTGTAAAATTGTTTCGACAATATTCATTTTTAGGAAATGTGAGATTTAGTTTATAACGGTAATCATTCTTTATATCGAACATATTAATCATTGCATCTAATTCATTAATATTTTCTATAAAATGGTAATTTAATTTCTATTTAAATTTTCATTCCGAGTATGCGAAATAGCGCAGAAAAATAGCAAACGTTATTAACTTGGTACAAATGTTTGTCTACTCTTCTTAAAAATACATACTGAATTTATCAGAAAATGTTAGTTTACTCGTCAGCTGGTAGGCAATTTAATAAAAATTTATGCATTTCTGGGATATGCAGGCGTTCGTGTAATTGATACATTAAATCACGCACCACTACTCAGAAAACCATGTAATAGAGATATGTAATCCCGACAAATTATGAATGTCTATATTCTGCATGCGAGGACATTAATCAAAATCTTGGTGAACCGTGTGTATCGCGATAAATCGGGCAATTAATTTGAAACCGCTTCCACAGTTGTACCTGTCGTCAAAGCACCTAATCAGCTTTTGGGAGCACCTTTGGCTACAAACGTGCAATTGGAATGCTACGTCGAGGCATATCCAAATACAATAAATTACTGGATGAAGAACCGGCAGGGGTCAGGGGACGAAATGTTGATCGAGGGGTGAGATTATGAGTTCTCATAATTTTAAACGTCCGTTTGTCTCCCGATAGCAGAACTTATTGCGGTTGGATTTCGTAGACACAAGTACAGCGTACGAGAAGAACGATCTGGATACACAGTTTTGATGTCGCTATTAATCAAAGACTTCACTGGGGAGGACGTGGGCAGCTACAGATGCGTGTCGACGAACAGTCTTGGCAAGGCCGATGGCATTTTAAGGCTATACGGTAAGTTCTTCGACTCATAAAGTGCAATATACCTAAATAACTCAATTGTTAGGAGTACTCATAAGTAAAGTCGTTTCTTAAAATTACAGACTATTTAAATTTTTTAAATCGTACATGAAATGTTTAATCAATGATGAGATAGTTTCCATAATTGTCTGCGACATTTTGCCATTTGGAAACGAGCTTTGGTACGCCCATTTTATAAAAATCCCTTGACTTTTCATTAAAATACTTTTGTATTCCGCTTTTGACTTTGTAATTGAACAATTTTTTAGTATATAGTAAATACTGTAGAGATCTAGTTTCCGGTTTGGATTATCATACATAACCCATTTTTCGTCCCCCGTAACTAAAGAATCCAAAACGAGTTCTGCTTTGTGTCTAAACAAGTAATGAATTGCATACAGCAACTCTCGTTGCTTAATCGGCTGTATTAAGGACATGCGGGACCCATTTTCCGCATCGTCACACTTTTCTAATTTTGTGAAGGTGTTCTTAAACTGTAAACCACAACATACCAATAATTTCTGCAATCTCTGCAATTGTTAAACTCGGGTCTTTTTCAACTATAGCCTTCAATACGTCGTCTTTAAGAAGAGGCAGACTTCTTGATCTCTCATCGTGTTGTAGACAAAAGTCCCCGTTCAAAAATGCTGTGACCCATTGTTGACATTGCCGGTCACTTAGGACTTCGGGATAAACATTATTAATATTGATTGTTGCAACACTAGTATTGTTTCCTTTACCAAATTCATAAACCATACAATGTTGAATATGCTCCTTCATCAGTTTATCTGAACTCGTTCTTTTTAAATGATATTGAATTCTCCTGCTTTAAACAATTTGTAAGGAAAATGTTTGAGGTAGCTTTAACACTAATAAATCATCAACTTGATTCACACGAAGTTTGCAACATTGATTCAACGACAACTGTCAGTCCGAGATGACATTATTTATGAGTACTCCTAATATATGTACTATTATTGTTGTATCAAGTCTACTACTATAAACGTTGACATATTTTTTCGTTTTCTTACTTTCATCAATAATAAAAAATTAGCTTTTATAATTAAATTAACCATTTAAGACTTAAGCCATTTTCCGTAAATTGCGTACTCCTCTAATTAATTATTAATCTATAGAATCGATCAATTTAAACTCATTCTATGTCATGTCAGAAATAGAATATTTTTAATTTTCTTTCAAATTCTTTCTATCATCATCGTACTTGATATAAGTAAGTATTGAATAAATATAATAAACATTTACAAATTAATTACACACATACATACACGTCGAAGTAAAACAATCGTAGGTTTGTAAGTTACAAATACATGTTTTTTTCTATTGAACAACATAACCGTATTATTATTTCAAGAATATAAACATATTGCAATACAATTTCTAAGATATTAGTGTAAAGAGATAATAGTTTCATAACAAATTGCTATTTTGTCATTAATGGTTTTTGCTGAAATTGATGATTTCAAAAGTGTATTTGTAAATAGTAATAATAAGCATTTTATATGATCTTGTTTGAATTTTGAAAATATGTTTCGTCCATTACCGAATAATGCGATATTTATATTAGAGTCACTGTTTGATCTAAGCAATATATTTATAAAATAGAATTAAGTTGTATAAGGAGTAACATGATAACGAGGGGAAAAAATGAAGTCCTAAAAACATAAAAATATAAAGAATTATATGTATATGTATATTTACTTACGAAATTGTGAAGATTTATTGCTTGTAATTAAAAATGAACTTCATATTAAAACAGAAAGAACTTTTGCAGTATGTGTATCATAGTACAAAGACCTCTATACATCTGAACAGATTTTGAAATAACAAAAATGAGTTGGCAATGTTTTTAAAATTAATTTAAGAAAACATAATATTTTACTGGAAATTGACTCATGAAGTGTGTAAATTAATTCAATGCTTCTCAAACAAAATTTAAATTCTATTATTACATAACTCCATGTTACTCTGTAAGCTTCCTGCATATTTGCCTTTAATCTTCATTCAACAGCTGTTGCAATTACATGTCCTCAAACTTATTCAGCAAACCAAATCCATGTTCGTCATTCAAATCAACATTTTCTTCACTAACTTTCTATCACTAATTCTCTCAGATTTTGTAAATTACAACGCTTTCACGACAAATTAACTACATTTTTAGTAGTTCCAACGACATTTCTCTTTAAATCAAATGTAAATAGAATACTATGCCTAACACAGTTTGTCAGTAGTCACTTTGATCGTTACTAATTTTTGAGAGTATGTGTATCATTCAAGAAAATAATATAATATTACATTAACATACACACTGATACTTTAAAATTTCCATAAAGCAAGGAAATATTGGAATTTTAAATATTTATTAGTGTAGAAATAAAATCTCGAAAGAAATTCCTATTTGGTTAACTACAAACAGTTTATTAACAATAACAATAACTACACTAAGTGAAACTGTCGATGCAGTACGCCCACACTGATTCTGATAATTTTGAAATATGTTTTGAAGACATGATTTTGAATAACTTTTTTCTGTATATGTTGCTCATGGAAGGCTTTAGATTCCGAGATATTCGCGAAAAACTTTTGCTACTACTTCACAAAATTCTGTATTCATGAGGGTGTCCGTGAGAGAGGTGCAAGTATAACCGCACGCCCGTCATTTCGGCGGTGGTGGGTTGTATCAGCCCTCAATCTTCTCGGGTTACGTTTATGTACTCTTCCCGATGAAAGTTATATTAATATTCAAACGAATCTTGGGCAATTATACATTAAATGCCTCCCCCTCCAACAAAACTAGCCCCACCTATACAGTAATGCTCGCTTAAATTCCACAATTTCGGGTCCCAGCAGTGAAATATAACCGAGCAGAAAAACAGGAGGAAGCTATCTGCTCTCAGGAATTAACTCGAGCATAGCCTGACGAAGGCAAAGAATCGATATAGTGAGCGGAAGCGGTATAGACACAGCCCTCCAAGCATCGGAGGTCGAGACGCGGGACTTCAAAGCAATGCCGCACGTGTCAAATATAAACATATAACGAAGAAAATTTTAGTCGCAGAAATTTTAATCTTACCTTCTCAAATGTAGTGCCAGCGAATTAGATTGTGATTAAAATGAGTCCAAACACAGTAGAAATTGGACTAGTTTTCCGACTTAATATGCTTAACTAAATTAAAGGTTCATTTGCCCCAAATCGATAAAGTAGTCGATTGAGTAGTTAAAGTTAAAATGATTGCGATTGAAATTTTCTTCACTGCATGTTTATACTTGACGCGTGCGGCATCTTTTCGACCTTTGTCTGTCTCTTCCCCTCGTTGTATTCCTTTTCTGTCCCTGTCCACTGGGATCACGTTACACTAAGTTCAAGGCAGTGAGTAGTGAGGAAGAGTGGGGATAGTGCAATGGAATTAAGCCGAGCAGATTTCTGTGGAACTTAAACGGGCATCACTGTCACTCTAAGTCGCTGCGCCAAAACCACGCTCACGCTGTTAGCTCTCTCGCTGGACTCTCGGTTTAGGACTCCTCATTCAAGACGCTCTTTCTTTATTTTTACATGCATCCCCTTTCACTTGTACCCTGATCCTCGTACTGTAGAGAGTTGACTTGATGGCTAGGCTAAAGAATGCAGCTGATCGACCGGTTTTTATCTTTTGGTATTATTTCCTAATTACTACTATTTTCGATCACTGATTTGCTATTCATCGATACTATCACATATAATCGATCCAAAATGTGGAACTGTCAACTAGAGAAAGACCTTCTTGCACTTGTGCTGTTCCGCTAAACATCAAGTCATCTTCCAACAGTACGCATTTCGCTAATCGCTACATTTTCACGGTCCAGTCCCAAACACTTTTCCTTCGCACCCTTTCAGCTACTTAAGATTTTCTAAACGCAGTCACTCTATTTCCCACACATACCGACGCCGCCCAATCACAAGACGATACAGACCACACGCACAGACAATCGACCATTCACACCTTACATTATAAACAGGTAAATACAATCACATTGAATTACTTTATTTAATAACTTAACTAGAACATTTGTTAAGTAAATTAATAAAAGAAATAAATATTAAAACGATTTAGTATCGTTTATAAAATTAATGATATTAGGCAATATTAGACGATTAGTGCAAAATGAAATCTGACTCAATAAAGTACTAAAAATGATTAGGATTTCATATCTCATATTTTCAAATTAACAAGAATTCTCATGCGTAGTCATACACACAGATTTATTTAATTTCTAATAAATATTAGATTCGTCGTTAGGGAGATTCTCGTTTTATAGTAAGAAAATCGATTAACACCTCAAAATTTTTATCGGAAAATTATCATGTATAAGAATTTATTGTTTTATAGGTACAAAGAAACATTCCATGAATGAAAGAAATTTTTAATTTATTTTTTTATCACTGTTAAATCCAATTATATACAATTGTCATCTTCTTCGACAGTGAAACAATTATTGACGTGCAGTGTGACATTTACAATAATCATCAGAATATAAAAATAAAACATTTTCTTAAAGGTAGGTAATTTGTGTTGGAATTATATTGATTTCTGACAAAAATTACACAAGATTAAACAAGGTATTTACGTTCGTAATATGAAATAAACTTTTTTCAATTGATAAGTTTGCTTATATGAATTTAAAAAATATTGTAAATAAAAAATTAAATAAAAATCAAAAGTATAATACCTAGAAGACTATAGCAGGACAAAAATAAGCTTTATTTGAAATGGATTAGTTAATTAATCGTTAAGTTATTGTGCACAAAATTTAAAATAAATAGTTTCGAAAAAAACACCAATGAAGTTTCAAGATACCTATTTATTTATAGTTTAAATGCTTATTTTCGATAATTAAATTTTATTTTTTCTATAAGTTTATTTCCTGTTGCAATATTTCTGAATTAAATATGTATTCGCCATTAACATGCAACACATTCACTTTTCTCAATTTTGACGCTTTTACTATACTATTACCATTATTACTAGCCTCTGACGGGTAACATTAAACAACCTCCTACATTGTTATTTTTTCAAATATAATTAAAAGATTTTAGGAATATGTTTTCAAAGTGGTATATTATTAATACATACAAAAAGATAATAAATCGATTTTAAAATTAAGTATTTCTTTTTCTCCAAATTTTAACATGACAAAACTCGTTTTCAAAAATACAGTTCATATATTGTCCAAGTAGTACAGATACAGTATATAAATTGTATTATATTACAATAATAGTACTATAATAGCTATATAAATTATAATGTATTGGATCTTGGTACTGAATAGCAAAAAAAGAAATTTTATATGATGTATAAAGAACTATTTTTATTTTCTTCCAGAAATTAAAATGGGCTTTGATAGGACGTCACGTGGGAAAGATCATGTATCAATTATCGGTGGTAAGTTATACGAAAATTTTCTTAATTTTTTCAATAAAAATTCGAGTTATAGTTTTAAATGTTAAAGTTTTTATTCCTTTGAAAAAATTGTCTTAACATTTTACAAATATTGCAGCTAGCTTCATCCTTAGCGAAATGGTACATTTATAATAACGGTAGTGCCTTGAAGTAATTCACTATTAAATTAAATTTGTGGACAATATATTGAAGACACTCGTAAAAGATGTGAAAGTTATTATTAAAACGAAGATATACTTTCCCAGAATATTAGACAAATTAAAGATAATGAAATATTCTGACAATATCTAGCTTTAGACATGCCCACATTCAATTTTGTAAGTGTACCATTAATTTTAATCTGTGAGCATTTATCTAGGACACTGATTTCCAACCTTGTTTCTCATTGTCAATATAGTATATATTACATTATTATACATTATCATATTATATAATATGATTAAAATCAGTGGCACAACCAAAAAATTGAATATAGACATTTCTAAAGTAGTTGAAACAGTGACCTGTATTCCTATAGATATTGTGCGGATATTTAATTATCTTTAATTTGTATAATATTGTGGGAAAGTATGTATGTGTATATATATAAAGCTCGAAGTTCTGAAGATAAAATGAGCTCAAATTAATACTCAGAGTGTTTTTCGAAAGAAGAGGTGTAGGAGGCAAACAGCTGCCGATCACATGTTTTTGAAAGGGTAGGCCCAACAACTACTGAGTATTTCGAGCAATATTGTCACATGGGACATACTGTTATATATTCTTCTTTCTTCTATTAGGTCTACCGGAACGTTTTGTTCGTTTTTGAATTAAAAAAAAATAATACACTGTCAATACATTTATTAACTCTTTGCACTCGAAGCATTTTCTCAGTGACATTACCTGCAATTCGAAGTAATTGTAATAGAGAAAGCATATTAACATATAAATAAATGGTACACGGATGAAAAGAGAAGTCATAGATGTATTTTACTGTTTTTTTATCGAATATAGATATAAATGTTATAATATATTTTATGAAAAAATGTTATAGTTTATGATGACAAATTTTAAATGCCTCTGTTCCAGAGCCCTCGAGTGTAAAAATTAACACATTCACGATCGCATATAATTTTCCAAAGTCTACAGCTGAGTACCGCTAGTCTTCTACTCAAATGTGTATGAATATGAAAAATATATGACAGAACTATGTTATCAATACTTAAATACAGATTCCGTAAATCACGTATAGATAAGCGACTGGCATTCTCCTAAAAAAATTCAAAATGATATTGGGTTACGTTATCACCGTTCATTCAAAAAATAAAAAATAACGTAGGACTACGTTTCCGTTCTTGAATGTGTTAATATTTACTGAACAATATAATTTCCATCGTTACTAATGACCTCTTACCAGCGTGATGGTAATTTGTAGATTCTATTTTTGTAGAACCTCTCATCTTTGGAAACTTGAGATGACATTATCGGACAGAACTTTCCGGTAAACCATAAAACAAGTGCAATTTTGAGTGGCCCGATAAAACAGGTTCTTATGTTTGTACAAGATACTATACGCAACGGTATTTAAAAGTTTCCACTATGAATTTATCGTAGAAAATATTAATCGTACACAGTTCATTCTCTTCTGTATTAAACATAAAAAATTGATCTCTCTAAACAAATTTTCCTTATAATTTATACCTTTTCCTTATAATTTATTTAGCAGTCTCTTATAGTTTTTAAGAGTCCTTAAAACAAATATTTACCAAGTTTAATATTTAGACACTACAAGAAGTTTAGTATGTAGTTTACTTATAATTTATTCGCAATTTCATTCATAATGAAGAGAAAACATACGTGGTCAAGTATAATATAACATGAAGACACTATTTCGTATTGAAATAATAATATTTAAATTGTAAGGAAAACGTAACCAATTTTTATAAAACATTTTCTATAAAATGCAAAACTATAAATTTAGCTCATAATAAAATAATAACGAAATAATAACTCATTATACAATGACTAGAATGTGAATTTTTTCGAGTACCATACGTTGATGAAGAGTGGGATTGTGGGATGATACAGGAATACGAGAGATAGTGCTTGTGCGCTTTTACCTCTGACTTTGACACTTTTGTCTCTCTTTGCCGGTTTGCAAATACGACCGTTTCGTCCAATAACGAAAATACGTCTGAAAAGAGATGGAATTGTTAGACTTTGAACAGTAGTGGGTCTGTAAAATACCAACCTGTCGTCAACGTACTGTAGAAATTTTTAAAAATTACCTCACAGTAATATTTACTGATTTATAATTATAAGTATCTGAAAAATTGCTTTCATTTCTGAGTAGAAGTAATTCAGCAAGACAAAATCAATGGAGCACGTACATATTTTTGTTTGAACGATATCATGACCTGTATTAGCGCCCAAAAGAAACCTCTTACTAAACACAGAGTAAGAGTACAGAGAATATTTTAATTTTTGAAGTTCCTACCACATCTAAGTAGACATGTACATACATAACTTATATTTGGTTTAAAATAGTAAGGTAGACCGAGGCGAATCGGATCAATTCAGATTTAACAGCGAAAAACTACTAGTTAAACTGAGAATGAATGTTTTGTTTCATAAATTTGTTGTTAATATATTTAGCTTCAATATTAGTAAAAAATATCTGTAAAGATTTTTATGTTTATAAAAGTTTTTGTTACCGATATTGAAGCTGAATGTGTATTGATAACAAATTTATGAACAAAAATATTTATTCTCAGTTTTAACTATGAGTTTTTCACTGAATATTCCGGAATCTAAAAAGGAATTCAATTTTTTGTAAAAATTGTTTGTTTAATCCAAAATTGTACAATGTAATGATAATAAAATAAATTACTGGTACATTTGTCACAAATATACCACTTTTTAATACTACATTTAGTAGCACAGTTTTTGTAATACGACTTTTCGCGAATATTGCATTGGTCCCAATCTTTTGAAGGTGGGTGAATAACTTTTCATTGTAGTAAATGCAATATTGTTCTGTGGAAAATTCTGTATTTATGTTACGAATTCATTCGTCCTTATTACTTTTCATTCTTTTTTTGGTAATGTCTTTCCTTAGCCTAGTCTTTAACTTCTGTTATTTTTCAAGAAGTATCGTTTTATTGACAGATGATGTCTAATGTAAAGTTGGATTTTTTAATTATTTGACAAATGAGTCTTCTTTGTTCGGTTGTACACGGTATGCGGTAAATTTCCGGAGTTTGACGTATAGTCAGTTCTTTGGACCTTACTCTTATTATTGTGTCTTTGATATTGTTTTGCTCCGTGATCTCTGATTTGTCTTTCTTTCCTACGTATGCACCATCTATACATAACTAATCATAATATTAATAATCATAGGCATCAAAATAAGGGAAAATATTTATCCGATTCATCCTGCACGGCCTAATTCAGTTAAACTCATTCCTAAGGATTTCAGAGTGAATACCATAAATTAATAAAATGCAATATAATAATCTGAAGTACATTAAATACTGAATTTAGACACCTTAGAGACTAATAATAATAAAGTCGTTTGAATTTTCAAACTTAACTTGCCATTTTAATCCGTATATATGTAAATACGTATTTTATATTCGCCAAGAATTCGTTACGTTCGCCCACGTTTGATTCGATTGTAACACGTGCTGGTGGCGAACAACGGTTCGAAACAATTAAGGATGTAATTGGATTACGCGTAAAGAAGATGTATGAAGGAATATGGACGGTCAGCATGTTAATTTCTGTAATAACGTAACAAATATAGCTAATATTCTTATTTTTATCCGATTCACCTCAGTTTGCCTTATATACAAGTAACATCTACTGTTTATTGAAAGTGACGCGTATTTGCCGTCTGTACTCTCTAGTAAGCAGTGGCATATCATCTAATTACTAAGAAGACGGCTTAATTGGAACCGTCACAGGACGAGTAACAATACATGCACGACCGCAAAAAAGCGCTCGTAAAAACATAAGGGTTGGGAGGTAAATGACATTGATCTAGGTACAGGTAAGAGAATAAACATTATGCAGACAGAACGCCGTTTATTAGTTGATTACATAGCAACACCGTAAAAACCTTTATCTTTTAGAACTCTTCTTTCGAAAAACACGCTATTATGAATGTAAAAGCTATATCGTATTAAATTAACTATGTATTTTCATATTTGTTAAATGTACCACAACTGTTCAAAGTAATTTTTAAACTTCTTTTAAAGAACATTGCTTTTTAACCCCTTAAAGACCGAATTATTTTGCAAGAACCTTTTGAAACTTCCCAACTTTTTTTATGTATCTATTATAATAAGTTCTCATCATGCTTAATAAGAAATCGTGTTAAATTTACTAGCAAAGTCAGGTATTTTAGAAGATATATCCCCTCTAAGAATACTAAAATCTTACAAAAATTCTGAAAAAAATGATAAAAAATGAAACTATAAAATAAATTAAGCATATGCTTTTTACTGCGACATATTAGTTTTACGAAGAAAGTTTCATAATAATCTTCAATTGATCTTCATTTTCACAAAGGAAAAAAATCGAATTGTGTTGTACGATCCATTACTTTAGAAGTAAAATAATTGATTTCCCTAGTTCTTCTGGTGATAAAATCCATAGTGATAAATAAATCGAATAATCGATTCAGAAGCAACAAAATGTAGTCGCAAAACAAAAAAGAGATACCTAGAAATTAGTGGTACGCACGGTTATTTTTTAATTCAGGCATGGTCCTTAACATTAGCCGCACTGGCACTTTCCTACCGTAATCAATCAAATAACTGTCTACAAAAGAAAAACAAACAAGTTACATGATAAATTTTGTTTAGTGGAAACAAAAACGAAAGAAAAGACAAAAATTGAGAAACTGATTTAATCGGTCAATATAGAAATTGATATAAAGTTAAATAATGAATGAAAGGAAACGCAGAATTTTAAATCCGACCATTTGACCGGTTCCCGGTACAATTTGTGTTAAGGAGTTAAATCAAATTCAATTGATGTAAAGGACAATTAAGCTCGGAACGCCTCCCATTTTACTGAACTATCTATTTTTTATAAAAGTGTAAAAAAAATAAAGCTTCCTAATTCGCACTTATTTATGAATAAAAAGAGAATATTAAGTGCACTATTCGAAAATTCATCGTATTACGTTTCATTTCGCCTATAAATCGATACCTTTCCTGAATTATACGTATAGGTGTACATACAATTCTTTTTGTGTACCCACAAAGGTTCGGTACACATACACGTATACCATAATCGACATTAATTGGTTGGGAATCATTGATCTGGAATATGAACAAAACATAATTTAATAGAGAATTAACAGACGACCCATAATAGTATTGAGCAACATTTGGCCTTTAATGTAGCTAGATGCAACGTTCGTGAAACATTGACATCTTTTGTCCAAAAATATATACCTTAAATTTGACAATATAGAGTATGGCACTTACCAAAGGTTGGTAAATATAAATACTTACAACAAACGTTAAGAAATAAATCTTCAAATGAGATAAATGAGTTTGTATCATTTTCTTACATTACATTATAGGAAGAGTTCATACATTAAAAATTCATAACAATTATTTCAAATATATTTATACCATATAATAGGTACATTTAATGTATAATAATATTAAAGGAGTAGTAGAATATAGACAACAGCTAAGAAATATCACATTATTATTATACAAGTAAATAGGGGAAAGTAGGGTAAAACGGAAAGGTCAGATAAAATGGAACAGTAATGTTTTTCATAGATAAAGAGCTCGTATCGAGTTGCTGTCGCACGCCATGGTTCTAATAAGTCCTCGATGTAGTTTGAGTTTGACTGCAGAGCAGAGCATGAGTAATTTTTTCATTAAGAACATTGAAAAAATATTCAGTAAAAGGTTTTGATATTATATGGATGTTTGAAGCATTTTCTTACCTTTCAATTGAAAAATTAAACAGGAAAACTATAGTACTAAACTCTACGTTCCTTAAGCTCTATTTTTGACATTTAAGTTATTTCTTTGTCTTATGCCACACTATAAATTTTATATGCTTTTCTAAATTATGATGCGCGAGGAAAAATGGAACACTTTATAACAGAGGCAACAAGAGTTTCTTGCTATGTACTTTGTTTATAGTTTTAATTGATCACGTGTAATTGTATTGATGTATAGCAAATTAGAATCGAAGATGAGATAAAAACTGACCAAATAGGTTGCACCAGCGTAGAAAAAGAAGACGACACATTTATTTGTGACTTTTGATCATAAAATTATATATATTTATAGTTTATTTATATCAGCTAACAATTAAATATATTCAACCAGCAATTTTGATTTGGTAGAACTAAAGATTTTGTATTTTTATATGATTTTACATGAGTGTTCTGTTTTACTCTATCATTTTTGTGAAGCGGATATTTCCATACCTTCAGACAATCGTATTTTCCTTCGTAACTAAATATTTTTATTTAAAAAATCTTTTATTTCCTTATAATCAAAGGTCTACTTAAAACTTCTAATAAAGATTTTATGCGTCTAGTACTCCTGACATTTTATTATTACAATTCAAAGAAAAACTTTCCATCTCACCCTACTTTCCCGACATACCAGTATTTGTTTTCGATAGGACATTGTTTTTAATTGTTTTTATTTTATATTGATGCCGGTTTAATTCTGTATATTTACACATTTCTGTATTATTACTGGAGTGTACAATGTAAATCAGTCTGAAGTAATAAAAATTACGCATTATTTAATTTCAACGTAATGATACTATTGAGACAACATCAACGAGCAGGAAAATTGTCGTATATTAAAAATTAATTCATTTTATAGTACTATGCAGATTAGAAATAAATTTAAAATTTAAAAAATTAATACTAAAATTATAAATTGTCAATTACACGAATATAATTTTTGTGAAAGAAATTATTGACAAAGAAGATGACCAATAAACAAAAGTTTATAAACTGATGAAAGCAAATTAATATGTTTAGGAACGATGTTACAAACAATCTAAAACTGACTGGTCACCGATTTAATATGAAATAAAATATTAAGCAAGTTATAAATTTGGATGTGCAAATGTAATGCTTTAAAGTTACTTTTTTTATTAATGTTACTGGTCCATTAATATAAATTAAAAATACAGTAGATAGATTTCTAAAGATATGTACAGATTGTTTATTTTAGGGAACAAATTAAAATGTTCCTATTATTAGGAATACTGAACAGCGGAAAATGGACATTTTTGTTTTTAATGCTTTATAGGAAGAAATAAGTGAGTAGATATAGTTAATAACTTTTTCTAAGAGATATTCTGATATTCTTGTTAAATAATCGAAACAGTAAAAGGTATATCGGAGGCGATAGGTCATAAAATTATAAGAATTATATATTTAATAAAATATTATTTTGTATGGTAGAAAAATAAACGGCACAATCTTGTGGGAGGATCTAATATTTGAACCTCCTGAAACATATATGGAACTATATCAAGTAACAAAGACTTTAAATATATAACAATAAAAATGAACCAATGTAACAAATTAAAAATATGTGGCCTCAAATATTAATAGAATTTAACATTAAATTAATCATCTCTATTTCACCTACATTTCTGACAATAATACAACCTGAAGGTTTTCCACATATTTATTTATGCCATAAAGACATTACATTCATAGGCAATCAATTATGTCTGTTTACAAGGTGCATGTAACTTATGAAAAAATATTTCCTAAATTTTATTCAAACTTGCAATTAACCACGTTTATTTTCGACGCTTATATTTGTATGCCACAGTTCAAGTAATTAATCGGTTTATATTAATAATAATCGGCCATTATTAATACTAACCAAATATGTAGAAAGGTCAAAGTAATTAATTTGTAAGAATTTATCACCTAACCCGGTAATTACTAATAATGCACACCTATGTTCGGTAAATGTAAGGAAAGGAAAGGAAATGTAAGGAAAGGAAAGGAAATGTAAGGAAATTGTCATAATTTATATAGCATAATTTTATCAATAAAAATTATTCTGTCATAACTTTTTCATGTAAGAAAAAAAAGAAATAATTTATAAGCACGTTAAAAAATGTGGTATAAATTTGTTCATAAATAGTAGAAAATTATGCAAAAAAAAGTTTTTTTTAAATGCACCAAGCTAAACAAGTAATTATTAATAATTACCGGTAAATATGGTTATTACAATTTATTATTTACATTCATCAAAATACATGGGTACTATTCATACTGGCCGATTACTATTAATACAAATCGAATTTATTATATCAACTGTAACATACATACAAAACAAATATAAATACAGTATATTCGCTAATGTTTATGCATTAAAAAATGATGTATCGTTTCTATTTTACTTATTGTACATTAATATAATACGTTGCTAATGATGTATTATACATTTGATAAAATAAATAAAATTGCAACGCGTATGTTACATATTTTTTTTAGTAATTGTCATGTTTTTTAACTTTTGTCGGAAAGTATTTACATACATACACTGTCGGTAATAAGTGTGGGACCATTTGATATCTAACGTTACAAATTAAAAATTACATATCTTATAAATATATAAAATAATATAACAAAAATTATATATGTTTACATTGGACTAATATGCATATATCCATGTTCCTTTATCATACCCAAAAATTCATCAATAAAAATTGTTTACAAAACACGAAAGATTTTCTTTTAGCCGATGTATCGGTCCCAGATATTTAATCGACGGTGTATATATGAACGGAAATCTATTATGATGGAAAGAGAATCGAAAATACTAAATGAAATTTTCCGTTTAGGTTTAGCCGAAGCTGCACAAAGCTCAGGCGCTAATAGCGGCAGCAGAAGGTTCTTCGGATATAGCAACAAATTATCACATCTCTTGTCCACATTTCTTTTTATACCGGTATTCCTGTGGCCACGGTGAAGAAGGCATCCGTTGCTGGTACTGTTAAACCGAGTGCTGGATAACTTTGTGCCAAAGGACAAGAAAAATGCATGAATGCTTGTGTATGTATGCGTGCGTGTGGTCTCAAACAACTCAGAAGTTGTCTCAGTGTGTGCAAAATTATAAAAACATGTGCGCAAGAGAAAAAGAGCGTTCTCTCTGAAAAGGAGAATAAGTAATGCATTGGATGTACGTGTGCATGAAGAAAAGCAGCGAATTAATGAAAAAAAAAAGAAAGAAATAAATAAATTGGAGGCTCGCGTTCTCTACATCTTCCTACTACCCTTTCCTATTCCCGAGTGTTAAAAACGTTTTTAGAACAATAAATGTTGTCAATGTATGCGTCCAGTTAGATTCGCAATCCGTGTCGTTGGAACACCTATGACGGATCGGCGGGTTTTTGAAAAGACGCGCCGCATGACGAAATGACAAGAAACGTGCAAGCAGCTTGGCCCTTCCTAATGATGCTTAACAAGTCGTCAATAATATTCATAAGTTACAATCATTTTGTCATTGGTATCTGCATTACAGGCGTTAGACAGGGAACTCGGTGTTTCGAAATAAAACTATGAGATCAAACGTTGTACACTACCAGCCGCTAATAATTAATACGCCCTTCTTTTCTATTCCTTCTTGTACGTTGAAACCACTGAATATTAACCTTCGCAATCCTAGCGGTTCTAATGACCGCTCGAACGACAAAAATTGCGTCCACTCGGACCTCCATATTGTAAATTATACATATTTACATAATATAATACATATTGTTTGATTTAAAATATTTCATATTTCGCACTGACTTATTTCAGAAATAAGAAAATCCTACTTGTTTATCTTAATCATAAGAATCTTTTTGTTAAAGTAATGCGTAACGTCTCACATGCGAATTTTATGACAGTTACATTCAATTGGATTCAAATCGACACACACGCATCGTTCTGCGAAGATTAATGTTTTGGGCTAAATAAAATATTTATGATATAAAATTCGTAAGTTTTTAACTAATTTAGATTATTCGCCTAATACTATAAATGGTAAAGTTATCAAAAAATAACTTCTTTAACAATTTGACTGATATTTGGATACGCTATAAAAATCAACGTCTTGAACAATTTTTTTCTGTAAGGGGAATTTCTCTAATGCCGGGCACTAACGTTTACTATAATACTAGTAGCTTAATGGAAAAATTCTGACTTAAGTAAGATTGGAAAGAATGAAATAAAAAATTTTCTAGCTATAGAGAATATTAACTCATTTTTTTAATGAGGGCATCCGAGAAAAAGGTTCTTTATCGTAAACAATGAAAACGCATTGAATCACATCATTTGAAAAATTGTTACACATCTTAGGTTTTTGTAATTAATATACTTGTAAAATGATTTTCATATACTATGGTAAATGATTTTTTAATGTTACTTTGATTGAACCACACATATGTAATAACTTTGCAACAATTTTAATTATTCAATTAAAATTACTAAATTTTGGCTTGTTCTGTCCCCAGACAGTAGTACGTTATATGAAAAACTATATACTGCATATTATATCATTAAAAATCAGGAAAAGGATATCAGTTGACTGATAGAATGTAAGAGAGAAAGAAAAGAAACATAATCAAACAGAGTAAAAAAAGTATTCACTAATTTGCCACTAAAGAAACTACTATGTATAGTTTTGTTTAACAAGTAGTGATGAGGATTGGATTCAATGTTCCAAATATCACTACTGAACTCATAAAACTTGGGTAAATATTTGTGAGAATTTAGATAACTGTATTTACGAAAAATGTCCATTATTTCAAACTGTCCGACGATAGGCGGCATTTTTGCTTCGTGACAATTATAGATGCAAGTTTATTGAACATTTTTATTTATAAATATGTTGATTTTTACTATTCATTTATTTTATGGTAATCTTCGAGGTTTCTAGTTCAAATTAATGCTCAAAAACAATTTTAAATGTACGTATAATTGAAAATATCGTTAAAAAACCGTAAGTGTCTAAGGCTATAAGGATTTCCCATACATTGTACATATAACTAGCAATCTCGCTTAGTTTTTGCCTATTTATATATATGGGAAGAAGTTATTTAAAATGTTGATCTCTACAGCGTATGCAAAAATCATCCAAATTAGGGAGAACGTAGTTTTCCGAAAAGTTTATCCTATTATTTTTAGTAAATTGGATATTGCTCGATGCATAAGTAATTTCGAAATATTATTTATTATATTTATTATAATTCTTTGATACGCAGTCACTTGACGTTCATCTCGACGCAACGTTTATCGCTCCTTTATCACGTTAAGTGCTAAGCATCTTTTACTCATCTTTCTGTTTACACCGCCTATTATCGTCAACTGCTGGTTATCAGTTATCGATAACTGACAGGGTCTGAATGAAAAGGTTGTCGTAACTACTGGTGACCAATACCTCGCTTATCGTGTTAAGCAGGACGTCAAGCCTTCAGCATCGAAGATCGCTGATGGTACTTGTGCCTGACGTAATTATTTCATTTTCTGACTATAAAATCCCGAATATAAAATTTGTGTTGTACCTCTCCTTCATGGCTTCCATGCGAACAGATCTAGATAATTATTTAGAAAGTAGGCCTTTTTACTGACTATAATAACCTTGAAATCTATTGTCAAAATCATCATTCTGAGGAACTTTTTTCTATATACATAACTGCTAGTGAGGCATAGTTTCAGAGATACACGCAAAAGTATATTCAGTATGACATACTGTACCTTGTAGACCGTGTTTGGGTTAGACTCGAAGTCGTGAGGCAACAGCAAAACGTCACCAATAAATGTGATAATTATACGTTATCTACAGTTACTGTCTATTTTATTATTAAATCTAAATACAGCTACGTGGAGTGATGTTGTCCTTCTACTGTGGTTTAGTTCACTATTTAGGCGTTGTTGGACAAGTGGAAAGTAGGTACTGTGCGCTGTTCAAAATATGAACCCCTAGGGTCGACACACGAGCAAGAGGGAGACTAAGTGTTAACAATTTTGATTGGTAACTGCATTGGTAAATAGAAAATTAGTATCCAAAATGAAATAAGAACAAATGAATGCTAAACAATTAGCTCACACTAATTTAGTTAATATGGAAATTAGCAAAATAACTAACCGCAAAATGATACTAATTTTTTTAACGATAAATTCTTTATTTTTTCAGATAAACGTGTAATACTTCTTCGTTTCACTGTAGTTTTTCGTTAAAATACATCGTATGTAGGTGCATTTGCCCTGCGTTCACCGAATATACACTTCATTATTTGATTTTATTGCGCGCACAGTGAGAGATTTTTCAAACTAAATTCCACAGTTAACCTGTTAAATTAGTTAATTTACTTCACGTTTAAATATTCTTTAAAATAATTCTATGCGAATGTCGTTCTATGATCTAATATAATCTTCCGCGAATGACCAAATGTTGTCGATTGTTTGCATAAAATATTCCTTACTTCAGTGGTGGTAATTGATCATGTAGCAAGAAGCGAGATGAACTTACGGAACGCGTCGGCTATTACCAAAATGTATTTGCAAGCTTTTTGGATAAATGAAAGCGGGCCTAGATGATCAATATAATAAACATTGAACGGGGTGTTGCCCTTTTCGATGGGTTTCAACCGTTCCTCATGTATCAAAAGCTTGAAAGACTTTTAGTTGAGCATCTCTGAGTCATAAAGTAAGCTTCACAAATAGAGCGAAAATGCAAATGGGTTAAAAACACCCAGATTGTGGTAAAAATTATATTTTCGTTACGTAAATAATTTTTTTATTAAGGCATAGAATGGGACAAGTAGAGCAGCTACACCCTCTCAACTAATGATTACAAAGATTTTCTCTCCTTTCTCGATTTCACTTTGTTTAGGTAGGTACCAATTATATTATGCATACATACGTATGATAAGACACGATATTTACAATTATTAGAATTCTTAGCTAACAAAATTCTGATTTTCTTTTTTATATTTTCAGTCTACACAATCCAACATATGTTACGTACGAAGAATGCTTTTCATACAATTCTTCGGTTTTTAGCAGGAAGCAGCCTATGAATAACCACTTAATCCTTCATATAAACAATTGCACCCCTTGCAACAGAGCAACTGGACTCGCAATTGCGACAGTGCGTCATACGACTACTTCCACCCATTGGTCGGGGTATATAGACCCACTAATTTTTAATATTTTTAGCTCCTTTTGAGAAAGACTTCCATGTCGACGTCGGCCCACGTCAGTTATAAAATCGGTCAAGTCGATTCCAGTGAGATCGGATTAAAGTTCTCTTTCGAATCCAGTTAACCTTACAGAAACTGCGAGTCCAATAAAGTTCTATTTGGCAATTCTTTTTGGCCTTCCTCAGACCCCGCATTGCCAGTGCGTCAACATTAAGCAACTTAAGTAATGATTTTATAATCGTATAAACTCATCACAACGCTAAACACTCTTGTAACCATAATTACTTAGAATATAATTGAGTTATATTAGAAAACGTCCTGATTCTCTAAAACCCTTACTTTTCATCCAAAATCCTAATCAAACTATATTCCCACACAAATACAATCTTACCGCTCGGATTGTATCGAATAATTACAACTACATAATGTTACGAGCCCTGCTAACAATTCCAGCGACTTTGTGATTTCGTATCAGGTTTGTTCGCGACAACACTCACTCCAAAAACGAAAGATTACTCCAACCTAGTGACGACTCCCCAATTTCGTATTGAGTTCGTCCGCGGACCTTACTAAGAATCTGACTTCATATTACCAGGTAAATATTTCTTTTTATTTGGTGAACATATCGAGAACCCCGCCAATTGAGATGATTTTTAGGTATGTTGTAGAAATTAATATTTTGCACAACCTTTTTCAATACATATAACCAACAGTTTCGAATAGTTCTCGATATTTCCGAAAAACTGTCAATTTTAGTATATTAAATTCTGTTTAGCAGTGTAAGTCCATGATATATTTTGGTATGCAACCATTTCACAACGGGCGTAAAACAAAATATAAATTGAACCCCATCAATTTATTTTAAAATTAATTCAATTAATAATGCATTCAATTCAATTAATAAATTTGTTTCTTAGTATTATCACCCGTAAATATTATTTCATAACCATATAATTTTAGATGAAATTCATTGTTCAATAGTGTAAATCCTCATTAAATATTATTTTTTAAATAAATTCTGTGACTATTCGTTGATAAAGTCAAACCTAATTCTTATCCTATATTATCATGTATTTTATTTTATATGTATGAAATAAAAGCAGTTTGCATTCTAGACTCGATAGATAATAGTACTATCAAGTACAGTTTCAGTAGGGGAGAATAGGGTAAAACGGAACATCAATATTTTTCGTAGACAAGAAGCTTATATGGAGCTGGTGTTGAATAACATAAATCTAATAAGTCCTCGGTATAGTTTGTGGTCGACTGCAGATCAGTGCACAAGTATTATCTACGAAAGACGTTGGTGTTTCGTGTTAACCTACTCTCCCCTACCTATAGAATTTTCTACCTAACATCAATTTCTTAGAATGTACAGAAATGAGTTTCATTTACTGAAACTGGTATTAGCGGAGCTACTTTATGAGGAGTGCAGCGAAGCTCCTCCCCCGTCTATTCTTTTAGTTCATAAGACAGGTGAATAGGTAAGTAAATACTATTTACTGTGTAATATACATTGCGCGGGCGCAAAATTCATTGTAGTGCTACTGAAAGTTTATTGCAAATATCTAAAAAATTACCAGGTCTTATTAAATACACATAAGTAATAAAAATGAGGAATAGAGGAGAGTAGAGTAAAATGGAATACAAATGTTTCTCATTTCGACAAGGAGCTAGTATCAAGCTGGTATTGCAATTGGTCAGCTGAACAATTAAAATAACTGGTGATCATTGATCCGGACCATGAACAGGGTACGTATTTAAAGAGACTCTTCCTTGGCACACATCAGTATCAGTGTGCTTTTAGTCCCCTGATAAAGCCAGCTGCAATGCTGGCGAAACGTTGAGAACAAATTCCTAGTGGACATAGCTCTCACCAGAAAGCCAGAAATGAATGTAACACTCCAGGCCGTGAAAGCATCAAAACAACTTTATATTCATTCAAAAATAGAGGAAAAATTGATTCAGCACATGCGATGTGAAGAGAGAGCCTATGAAGATTGCACCAGTGCAAAAAAACAAAACAAAGCATTAATTTGTGATTTTTGTTCATAAAATAACACATATATACAATTTATTTATGTCAGTTAACAATTTACACTTTGTATTTATATATGACTTTAAATCGGTGTTCCGTTTTA